TCCAGCTTGGGGTTCTCTTTCTCCCTCTGTCCCTCTCCCCCACTCATGATCTCTCTCCCCACCCAAAAAAAAAAAATCTAAGAAACAAAAAACTTACTAAATTCTATTAAATATTTTAAATTATACTATTCTATTCTATTCAATACTTTAAATTATACTCGTCTTTTTCTATGAATGCATTTTGTTTTGTATAAGATATAATCAAATAGTGGAGAACCTAGCTAGTTCAGTTGGTGGAGTGAGTGACTACTGATCTCAGGGTTTTAAGTCCAAGCCCTGTGTTGGGTGCAGAGATTACTTTAAAAAAAAAAAATCTTAAAAAAAAAAAAATACTCAAATAATAAAAAATTAGAAGAAAAAGAGATCAACAACAGAATTGAAAATCTACAAACAGACCCAATTATAAACAAAAATGTGATATATAAACAGGAATTATTTAATGAATGATGCTGAAACATCTAACTGCAAAAATAATGAAGTGAGGTTCCAATCCAAAATACATTCTAACTGCAGAGTTAAAGGTAAAAAAAACAAAGGAGACAGGATGGGGTTGCAGGGGACCAAAAAAGAACCAGAGTAAAATACAGGTAGTTATCTGACTCAAGGGAGGGAAAGGACATCCTTAGCAAAATAACCAAAGGCAGAAAAGATGATAGCTAAATAAAGGCTAAAAAGATTAACCTTCATAAAAATTAAGAAAATCCATCTTAAAAAATGCCATCAACAAACTTACTTTAATTATACCAAAATTACTTTAACAGTAAAGAGAGAAATGTATTTCCAATGTACAAAATAGACTATGAGAGAGGTGCCTAGGTGACTCAGTCAGTTAAGCCTCCAACTCTTAGTTCTGGCTCAGGTCACGATCTCGCAGTTCGTGAGTTCAAGCCCCGCATCAGGCTCTATGCTAATAGTGTGGAGCCTGCTTGGGATTCTCTCTCTTTCTCTCTCTCTGCGCCCACCCCCCACTTGTGTGCTCTCTCTCAAAATAAATAAATAAAAACTTAAAAAAAAATAGACTGAGTTAATATTTCCGATATATATATAGAACATATGATTTATTAGAAAAAACTAAAGATGTGTATTTTCTTTCTTTTAATGTTTATTTCTTTATTTTTGAGAGAAGGAGTGAGCAGGGGAGGAGCAGAGAGGCAGAGAGAGAGAGAGAGAGAGAGAGACAGAGACAGAGACAGAGAGAGGGACAGAGAGAGGGACAGAGAATCCCAAGCAGGCTCCAAACTGTCAGCACAGAGCCCAACGCAGGGCCCAAACTCAGGAAATGTGATATCATGACCTGAGCTAAAATCAAGAGCCAGAAGCCTAACCAACTGAGCCACCATGTGCTCCAAGATGTGTATTTTCAAGAGAAAAACACACATATATTATAAATCCGATAAGAAAAAGTTGATTGCTTGCTACTATAAAACTTCTGGGGAAAAAGCTGATTAATAAAAGGGGTCCTTGTACAAAATCATAAAGTAAGTCGTGTGTATGTGTGTGTATTTGAGAAATATGCACATAAAAACCCAACTCACAATGCAATAGAGATTTAAATTTATAACAAATGCCCCAAATTTACATTTAAAAACCTCAAAATGTAATGGAATCTAAGCCACTGGGAGATAGTTAATAATTCTTTTAATAATATATGTCCTCTTTCCTCATTACTGTTTGCTAAGATTTGGGTTGAACAGTATAACAGGGTTGGTATGAAAATAATTTTATCCATACCTTGATTAACATTTTATCACTTTGGTTGTTTAATTTTGAACATAAATAAGGATGACTTTACACTAGGAGAATACAATTTAAATAGCATCAGTAAAACTAAGTAAAATGAGACAATTTCTCTTTGTTTTTGGTTGACTCAATAGTCATTTGTCAGATTATTTATTTTAAAAACATTATTCAAAGATATGCAGTATTTCTACAATGATCTGATAAGAACTCCAGCTTATACAACATCTGTTTTCTTAAGAAGAGTACCTGATTTTGCTTACAGCAAGTTCTTTTCAAAAGCTTTCTTCTTTGCTTAGTCCCAAGTACACTTTATATATTAACTGAGTAAGGTCCATCTGTACATAATCATTCGCATACATTTGGATGTGCTGAATTCTAAATTAAAAAAAAATCTATGTTTAGAATAAAGACTACCCACTGCAATAAATATGCAAAACAAGTAAATAAAAGCGTTAGAGCACAGAGCCTAATTGGGCTCTATAGAACAATGGTAAATTTAAGTCTACGTAACGTTCACAAAAGAAAAATGTCAATCAGATTATTTGTTCCAGTGATGTTTCCAGTACAAATAGTGTTTCTTTAGCTAATGATATCTTAGCAATATAATATCCTTCCAAAGAACAATGGATCAAAAAAACATCAAAATGATTCCTTAGGAAATTCCCATTACCAGTTCTTTATACTGTTTTTCTTAAAGGTTCAATTCCAAGCCAAACCAATTCTCCTTGCTAGAGTAAAGCTAAATCACAGTTTACAATTGTATTCATTATGTGCTGTACTTGGCCATACCTGCTTTTATAGCTATTATAAAAAAATACAATTTCATTAAGAAAAGAAAAAAGCCTAAGAGAATGTAATCTATATAAAAATAAATAGATTAAAATATTTTTTCAAATAGGCTGAATTTCTTTTCAAAAACAATTATATAATAAAATATTCATATTTTATTTAGTAAAGAGCCTTGATGTTTCATTCCTTATCCACTAGGCAGATACAAGAAAATCTGGGGTAAGTTAGTGGAGGGGATAATACAATTACTAAGCTGTGGTACATTAGCGGAAGGATGCTGGGTAAGTTCATGGAAGGATATGTAATACAACAGTCTTACTAAGCTGTTTTGGTATACTGGACCACTGTGCAAAATACATTTCTGAATTGTACCCTCAAATATAAATTAAGTGGGAATGCAGAAAACTCTGTCAGGCCAAGTCTCCTAATTTATATTAAAAAAGGGGGGGAGGGGACACAAATAAACTAGATACAACTATTTATTTAAGTGAAAAAGTACTACTACTTATATCCTATATGTATCAAGAGTCAGATTTCCTACCTAGTACAAATACTTCACCAGCCTAATAAAAATAACGTGTCTAAATTATGTCAGGATTAGCCAAAGACCATATTGTTATGGCGGAGGTACTTTGGAAAACAGTTTGGCAGTTCCTCAAAAAATTAAGCATAGAGTTATCATACACCCAGCAATTACACTTCTAGGTAGTTGCCCAAGTGAAATGAAATTATACGTCCACACAAAAACTTGTATATGAATGTTATTAACAGTATTACTCATGACAGCCCCAAAATAAAAACAACCTAAATGCCCACCAGCTGATGAATAGGAAAACAAAATAAGGTATATCCATATAATGAAGTACTATTTGGTAATAAAAAGAAATCCTGATACATGCTACAACATAAATTAACATTTAAAAAAGTAGCTAATTGCAAGAAGGCAGTCACAAAAGGCCACACGATATGATTCCATTTACATGAAATGAGCACAAAAGACAAATCCATAGAGACATAAAGTAGATTAGTGGTTGATGGGTTGGGAGGAGGGAAAGAGAGACTGCTGATAAGTATGGGCTCCTTTCTGGGGTGATGACAGGGTTTTGAATTATATAGTGGTAATGGCTGCACAACTCTGTAAATATACCTGAAGCCACTGGACTGTATACTTTAAAAGAGTATATTTTATGGTATGTGAATTATATCTTGATAAAGCTGTTACTTTAAAAAGAAGATGGGGCGCCTGGGTGGCGCAGTCGGTTGAGCGTCCGACTTCAGCCAGGTCACGATCTCGCGGTCCGTGAGTTCGAGCCCCGCGTCAGGCTCTGGGCTGATGGCTCAGAGCCTGGAGCCTGTTTCCGATTCTGTGTCTCCCTCTCTCTCTGCCCCTCCCCCGTTCATGCTCTGTCTCTCTCTGTCCCAAAAATAAATAAACGTTGAAAAAAAAAATTAAAAAAAAAAAAAAAAAAGAAGAAAAATGAATAAACTGAAAAGCCTAATTCTTAGTCAGGATATGAATATTTTATTAATAACACCAGGGCTATCGCAGGAAAATCATAAATTGGGTAAAGGCACAGGTACCACAGGATTCTAGGAGACTTTTCCCAAAATACAGGACTTCCTTGAGAGGAATTAAAATGAAACCAAAATGTGCCACAAATTTCTGCTTTCTCTACTCTCTGTTCTACATATCTGTCATCCTTATCCATGTTTCTACTTCTGGCCTATTAGATTTGAATAATGGATCCAAACATGCGACACTCAAGCCCCCTTTATATAATAATATCCCAGATTAAATAAGAACTGAACGTGAGAATTACAGAATATCAGAATATCAGAATAACAGATAGAGACCTCATATGATTATTTCCCTCCCCTCTCATCCGCTGAGTTAGGCCCATGTATTCCAGGAATGCAAGTTATTTTAAATTATGAGATAAAAGATAAAATATTTCTTCTAGAATTATTTATTGCTTTTTAAAAACCTTGTTCTAAACTGCCACACCAACTAAAATGAATAGAAATGCCAAGATGGTTCAGACAAATAATAAAGGAAAAGCGCCAGTTCTATTGTCATTATTTGTCTAACCCAACATCATTTTTGGCTTCAAACAGCAATCAAATACTTTGATACTGACAGGAGACAAATTTTTTTTCAAAGATAACTCTGCTATATAAAGTTCAGCTTAAGATCAGACACAAACCTTAAATCTAGCCATGCAATAGCAACAGCACAATCCTACAGCTGTCCTCTCAGCCCTGAGGTACACTGACTGGATGGATGGCCTTAATTCAGATGAATTTCCTTTAGAGTAACACCTGGATGTCATATATTTCATTATTTCTATCTTTCTGAGAATAATAAAGGCCTGAATTCTAGCAAACTGAGCCAATGGTTTCATAAGTGTTGACGGCGCAGAATTCTCTGACGTACATGGATGAGGGACTCTCTGTCACCTCATGTGCCATACCTGGTATGCACTGTGCTGTGGCCTCAGTGGTTATGGTTGGAGCAACTGGGGGCTGCTGCTGACTGGAGCTCACTTCTGGCTCTGTGTTAACTGAGGGAGAAAGAGCTACCTCACAAGAGGAGACCTGGCTGGGCAGATGGGGCAGGAACTCTTCAGAAGCAATTTGGTCATCTTGTCCAGGCAGTTGCAGGGCAGACAAAGGGATGCTGATCTGTTTATTAGGATGGGAAGTGCTCACAGGCATCTGCATGGCCACCTGCTGGTTTGTGCCATGGGCACTGGGAGGTCCTCTGTTTGGTGAAGCCAGAGATACCCTGGCAGTCTTCTGGACGATCGGTCTGGACATCACAGAGGGGGATGCAGACACACCATGTGGGTCCAGCTCTGTGCTGATGGCAGATGTTACATGGGGAATCAGCTTAGCAGACCCTATACAAGAGGGACCAGCATGACTCTGAGGCTTGGGTTTTGCCATCTGTGTCAATGACAGGGCTGGTCCGTCTACCCCTCCAGTCAGCTCTGCATTCGCCACAATGTAATAATCCTCGGGAATCTCTTGTTTGATTTTCTTAATGATGACATCATTGCTGCATTCATCAACCATTTGAGCTTGGGAGCTGGAATGGAGAGAAGATGGAACTATTCCAGGCCTTTTTCGAGCAATGGTTTGAGGCCTTTGGGTTTGGGGTTCAAAGTCACTATCCTCATCTGTAACAGAAGACTCACAAACCATGTCAAACAGGGTGTTTTCATCTTCATATTCTTCAACAGCTTCATCCAGTTCAGAGGGCTCACTGCAATAAGAGAAGTCACAAGAGTCTCTGGTCCGATTACAGTCTAGCTTCGCTTTCACTGGTCTCCCAGGGTACCTTTCAACAGGGCTAGTTTGTGTCTCGGAGGGCACTCCGATTATACTGGGACTATCAGAGTTAAAACTTCTGTTATCCTGGAAACAGACCCTTTCTTGGGACCCAGCTCTGCAAGTAGCTGTCAATGGCCAGTGATAAGCATGGCCAGCACTACAGCCCCACATTGCTGTGAGGTTCCCATGGGAACCTTCTGAAAGCAAGTGTTTCAGGTTTGGAATGAGGCTGCAAATGGTCCCATGGCTGTGGGCCCAGCTGACCAATTTGGACAGATTCTCAGATGAGGTATGAAGGCAATCCTCCATGTTACAGGATCAGCAGTGTCTTTCCTAAAGGGAAATAATCAAAATAAGAAGCCATTATTACCCAAGATATTCCCGTATCTCCATCATTTCAATATCCTTGAACTATGATCATGTGGCATAAAAAAGAAATGCACTTCAAAACTTTATCTAGTTAATATTGCTGCACATGGGCAGGGACTGGAAGAGAATACAGGGAAAAGTAAAAAACAGTTGATGCCTTATGGCTGTGAAACAAGAAGATTTTTGTCCGTTTCCTTCAATGTTATAATATCTACATAAAAAGTAATATCTGCATAAGAAAAAATGTGGGAAAGAAAAAAAAACAAGCAATAAAAAAGAGGTGAGGTTTGTCATGGTACATTTTACTTCCAAAGTCACAAAAAGAGGCTTAGTCAGCCCATTAAGAGTAAAATGTATGCATTATTTGTATTAACCAAGAAAATGCACTTCCAACTTTACACTCTGCCATCAGAAACTTCATTACTGAAGGCAGAACCAACAAAGGCTGAGATCCATTCTAGGATGAGTTACAGAAGGGAAGTCAATCCTCTGCTGGGCACCAGAAAGCAATGATGCAACTAAGAGTCCAAGGAAAGAATCAAACGCTGAAGTGCAGAAGAAAAGTCTAATAGAGAAAGGAGAATGGACTGGGAGGAGAGCCACTAGAGTGCACCTGCTGGGATCTGGGTTGCAGGCAGTCTGTAGATCAGAAGCAAGGATGGGTGGGCCAGGTGCCGGGACTCTAACCAAATCTTAGGAACAGGCTTTCTGCCTCCTTGCTGTCTGAAATTCCTGAAATACTGCCTTTCATGTCACAATTTAGAGGTAAAAGATGGGTCTGGTGTGTTCCACCATCTGAGACTCCTGGACACCCTAGGATAACCAACTACCAAATAGGAATAAACTATTCTTTATTGGACAGACTTCAGAAAGAATCACTTGTTATGAGTCCTTGGCTGGGTAAGAGTGAGGACAAGATGATGGGCAAGAAAAGTAAAATGGGGCACGTGGAGTCTACATGTGATTAGAAAGGTCAAGTAAAAGGGAGATTCTGGGGAGAACTGGGATGAGGGGCGTGGAGAAGGAGGAACAAGGATCTTGATGTGTGGTTAGTCGGTCCTGTTCATCTGTAGCTGTGAGTAACAAGTGGTGCCTCAGTGTAGGTGGGCTCTGCACTGAGGTACCAAGGTCTAACTATAATGTCAGGTGGTCATACAAAAGGGCACATTTGAATCTCCATGGCACCTCATCAGTAGAGTTAGGTAAAGTGAAACCTTTCACATGTTATGAGGCCTCTGTGATGTGGTCAGGACCACAGCCAACCTCTCAAACCTCATTTCCTACTAGTATGGGATTTCCCCACATTTTTTATGGTCTCCTCTTCGCTAAAGTTTCTCACCCTCCACTAGGCCTCTAAAAATTTGTTCTTTGTCTTGATATGCAGCCCTCTTCTTTATTCATCTGGAAAATCCTTTCAAAACTGAACTTGAGACCACCTCCTGTTGAAGTCTTTCCAGAACTTCTTTCAGCCTCAAAAATGTATTCAAATTCTTTTCACTTGTGCATCTATCATCTCCTGAGTTATCTCTGTACTGTTATCATTGACATTCTTGTCTGTTTCCCAAACATGACTGAGAATTACTTGAGGACAGGAACTATAATTTTGCATTCATCAATGAGGGCCTACTTGGGGATTAATACGATATGGTCCTGCTCTTGAGAATTTATAATCTACTGTTAATGATGAGTGAATGAATGAAGAATGAATGAATAAATATATAAATGCTGGCAGTGCCATCAACACTAACAAAGTGAACACATAAGACCCTCAAATAAAGGGGTGCCTGGGTGGCTCAGTCAGTTAAGTATATGACTCTTGATTTTGGCTCAGGTCATGATCTCACAGTTTGTGAGTTCAAGTCCCATATCAGGCTTCTCACTACCTCTTTCTCTGCCCCTCCCTTCCTCAAGCTCTTTCTCTCTCTAAATAAATAAACATTTAAAAAAATCTTTTTTCAAAGACCCTCAAATAAGAAACAAGAAATCTCCTCCTATCACTTTATTGTAATCACTGAAGGGAACAGAGGATTTTCTTGCCAGTGGTATAACCAAACCACGGCTGTCTTGTGTACAGAAGACTAATACATGAGCAACCAGAGTTTAAGAAGCAGCACAGTAAATGGAAAGAACAGTTATTGGCATAGGAGTTGGGAACTTCAATTCTAGTCCTGTAACCTGAGTCTGTGGCCTCAAACAAATCATAGATTACCTCTAAGCTAAAATGTCAGGACTATATGATCTTTATGTTCCCTTCATACTTTAGGAACTTAGGGACTTATTTTTATTTGTTTCATATAACTTTAAAGTAAAAATGCAGAGAAAAGAGAAAGACTGCTACAATTAACACAATGAGCACTGAGTAATGTACAAAATTGCTGAATCACTATATTGTACACCTAACACTAATATAAAACTGCATTAACTATATTGAACTTAAAATTACAAAATTAAAAAAAAAAGAAAGGGGCGCCTGGGTGGCTCAGTTGGCTGAGCATCTGATTTTGGCTCAGGTCATGATCTCACGGTTCTTGAGTTCAAGTCCCGCACCGGGCTTGCTGCTATCAGCATGGAGCCCACTTTGGATCCTCTGTCCCCCTCTCTCTCTGCCCCTCCCCTGCTCACGTGCTCTCTCTCTCAAAAATAAACACACACACACACACACACACACACACACACACATATATAAAGCAAGAAGGCCTGACGTTTTTTATTTTTGTTTTTTAAGTTTCTTAATGTCTATATTTAATAGGAATAGGAATTGAAATAGGAATTGTCATATAACACAGTTCTGGGCAATAATGTGTTAAAAAAAAAAAGCCACTGAGTGGGGTTTGGGAAAGCCTTCTGAAAAACAGACTTGTCCAGTTTTTGTCTTTTTTTCTTTTGCCCTTTGTCCTTCTCTTTCTTCCCGACTAGAACAAGGACATGATGGTTGGAGCTCCATATGGCAATAGAGGCCATAATGGGAGCATGAAATAAGAACTTAAAGATGGGAGAGAATAGCCAGAAGGAGGTTGGGTCCCTGTTGACATCATAAAGCCATGACATCAACTCTGGACTATCTAGGACTCTTTATTACATAAGGAAAGATGAGCCCCTTACCTTGCTTAAGCCACTGTTGTTGGAGTATTTAATTACATACAGCTGAACTCAACTACTACCTGACACACAAAAAATAACATTCATCTCTGGTTTTTGGAACCTCAGAGCAGAATCCTTCAATTTCTCTGCACCATGCCCCAGTACAACTGCTTCTCAGACTGGACTCCACAAATAAATTCTTGGGAAGTCTATAATTCTATTCCAAAATGTTTTATTTTGATTCTATAAAAATATGATTATTTTAAGCATATCATGAGTCATCTAAATAATCACATTACATCCGAGTATTGCCTTTGCATCTATACTCACATTATTGTCCATAATCACCTAAAGTGACATGATTCAACTTCCAATTTGTTGGGAAACCCATTCATGCTGTTTCCTTTTTAGCAGATATAAATACAAAACTTCTCTTTTGCATTAATTTTCAGATGAAAGGCAATCATGATTTGACGTCATGAAAATGGCATATGTGATGGTGAAGCAATATACCACTTTAAGTGTCACAGGGTAATGAGAAAATAAAAAGGAGTTGAAATAAATATATATGTTCATAGAAAAAAAATAACATACATTATGGCACAATATTTGACTAAGGACGTTGTAACAGTTCAAACAGACAAAAATGTGACAGATTCCAAACATAAAATTGTATAAGCATGTAGAACTCCAAAGAACTTATTGTATAAGTAAAAGCTACAGTAGTAAAATAAGTACCTTTACTGAAGGTCCCACAAGCCGGAAAAAAAATTATAATAAAAGACAAAGTAGATAAAATTTCAAATTTTGTTAAAAGCTTATCCACTTAATTCTGTAATAATAACCAACCTTTAAGAATCAATAGACAGTAATCAGAAGTCACTTTTATTACATTCTGAAATTCACTAGCAATCTTATGAAGAGGCTCTTAAACTTTTCTTGAGTATGATAAAGTGAAAATATTTTTCCAGTATCACTATTAATATATTTCAGCCAGGCAACCAATGTTAACCAATACGGTTATAAGAGAGCATAATTAGCTGATATTTAGGGTAATTAAATGGATTGAGTCCAAGCTGCCAAGGAATAACTATCAATATGCTGCAATATATTCTAAATTTAATAAAAATAGAATCAATAAGACAATTAGGGTATTTCCAAGGTGCTAAAAATAAATCCTTTCAAGAACCTACTGACTTCCTTCAACAGTCTGATGATAAGCTCTATGCTGAAAAACAATGCTTTTTCTACATTTTCAAGAATTAAAAATAACTTCAGACAGTATTTTCCCATATTCATATGGGCTATGATTGGATTAGGCACACGGATTAGGAGTTATCACGTGACACTTGATTAAAAACAAACTCAAAGAGCCCTGACTAGCAGAGTTTAGGTTAAGTATGAGATCTGGTTACCCTAAATTTGCAAACAAAGCTATAAAGTTATTATCAACACTTTATATGTTAACTTAGGGAAGCAAACATTCTATGTATTAGGATTCATACTATTAAAGCCAAATCAGAAACCCATTAAATATAGAGTCAGACATTCTACTATTAAATCCAACACCAATCATTAAGGTTTCAGTAATATGAAACTAATTATTATTACAGCTAATACTTATTGGACATTATTAATTTCCAGGCACTATTCTAAGACTTGAAATACCAATATCCTAACTATAGTAATACTCCTAATAAATTAACTAAATTATTACCCTCATTTTATGAATAAGTAAACTAAGTCACTTGAACAAAGTAGTGGTAGAGCCAAAGTTTGAACCTTAGTCTTTCTCCAGAGCCTATGCTCTTAAAATTAACATACTACACTGTTTCTGATATAAAAGTAGAAAGATATTG